AAAAACCAGAAATACCAAGAGTAAACCCAAATCAATTTTTCCATTATGTTGGCATATTCTGAGTAGGCATTATTATTAGCAAGTTGCATCATAGCACCAAAGATCACTTGACTGCAAGAAATGACGTAAAAACACCATCAATGAATGACCTGCAAAGGAAGTGGGCTTCTCAGGTCAAAGGAATGAAAGCTAAAAGACAGACACATCCTGCACTGGGACTTCTTGGCCAAAAAAATTTGCCACCCTACAGTCAACCTGGTGGTCAGCATTTAGCTACATGAAAAGACAGCTGGGTGTCACAGAAGTCATCTGGATTAGCCCTGTAAGATTTCTGGAACACCCTGAATCACTGGGAACATATTGAAAGTCATTCTACTTTGGTTCAACCTGCCAGGCCCCTGTACTATGAAAAAGGATAAAAAGGGATGAAGGGTTTTAAAATATAAGTATGCCACTTAGAGTAGGAGTTCTTCATGTTTTTTTGCATAATAGATTCCCACCCTCTGACAGTCTGGTTAAATCTACGAACTCTTTTCTTTCAGAAGGTCTTTAAATGAATTAAATAAGGTATGTGATTACAAGAAAAATCATGTTGAAATACAATTATCAAAATATTTTTTTAAAATGTCACAGACTCTAGATTAGGAATCCCTGCCCTAGAGAGAACAATGAAGTTAAATATAAGCAAATAATTCAACTTAATCTATTTAGATACGTAATAACTATAGGAAAATAGTTAACCTGACAATTTTTGAAACAAGACACATTAGCATAATATAGTAAAAGTAATAAATAAATGCTCTAAAATGTTTTTATACATAAAACCAGAATGGAAGCCACAGGAAAAAGATAAGACTCTATGACTCTACGGATGTTCTTTGGACCCTGTTATCTCCTGTACTATAAGTGTCTGGTCAAAAAGCTTAGTTTCATAAAATTTAATACTACATGGAAAGTAATGCTTGTAACTAATGAAAATCACATAAAAATTCACCTGCAGGCTAAGGTGGAAAGCATAAAACAAAACAAAACAAACAAACAAAAACAACTGTAGTCCTGATGAGAGTAAAGCAGAGAAAGATAAGAGAAATACAAGAAGACAATAGGTATCTTCATTTAAAAAAAATGAGGAAATAAGTTAGGAAAGCTAAGAGATACTGAATAAGTAGTGTGGGGGCTATGAGGCAACATAGGATGATCAAGAGGTGGGGAAAATCATCTACTTTGGATCCAACAGGTAGGCAGGCATGAATTATTTCACACAAACCAAATCTCGATTTAATAATAAAACATTAGTGGGGCAAGTAGGTGGCACAGTGGATAGAGCACTGGCCCTGGAGTAAGGAGGACCTGAGTTCAAATCTGGCCTCAGACACATAGCACTTACTAGCTGTGTGACCCTGGGCAAGTCACTTAACCCCATTGTTTAGCATAAATAAATAGATAGATAGATAGATAAGTGAATGAATGAATAAATAAATAAAATATTAGCGTTAGAAGACTCCTTGAAGATCCTCTAGCCCAGGGCGCCTTAAACTTTTTCCACTAGTGACCCCTTCAGCGCTTCTTAAATTTCAGGTCATGACCGCCGGGGTACTATACCTTCATTTTAGGGAAGTTAATTTACTTGCCCAAAACAAAACCAGTAGCACTTCCAGGGCTGGCATTTCTGATCTCTTTCAGTCTACTAACTGCCATATAGATATCCAATTACTTATTATGCATTTAATTAGTGTATATGACAAATGAGTGTTATATATCCAATGGATACGTAGCAACAGGTGTCACAAATCATATTTACTGCTTAAAAAAAAACAATTTCTGTCGCTAAATGACTTCCAGATTTGTAATACCTCAGACTTAAAATACCTCAGAATTAAAAATAAGAGCAAAGGAGGATCGTGAAAGTAATAAGACTGAAACATATAATAAAAAAAGAACTCAGAAGAACTGGAGTAAAGGACTTTATCAGAGAAACATGATCAAAAAGGAGATGAAAAGTGTGAGGGCTAACAGATAGATAGATCCACAGCTCCAATATCCTCTTTCCTAGAGGAGAAATTGAGCAAGGCCTCCAACATACCAGGGAGACTCCCAGAATAAATTTATGGGAAGACCCAGAAAAGAGCTGCATAGGACTGGCAGGTATAGACTCCCCCAAATGGATGACATCACATTTGAGTATCTGAGGTAAACACAGCCCCTACCACTCCTCCTGCCTCCACTAATCATTAGCATACAGAATCTTAGATTTAGAAGAGACAACAAGATATCTAGTCTAACCTTTACCCATGTAACAATGCCTGTCTACAGCTTCTTTCTAGTGCCTGTTCAGCCTCTCTAATCCAACACTTCCAGTGATGGGGACCTCATTACTTCACTACCACCCAATCAATACACAAGTACAGCTTGTTCCATTTGAGGGCACTTGTCATTTTTAGAAAGTTGTTCCCTATGTTGCGCTGAAATCTTCTTCCCTGTAACTCCCACTCACTAATTCTACTTCTACCTCTGAGGGCCACATCTCATTTCTCATTTGACAACCCAATTAATTTATGTATTTAAAGCAATATTCATTAAATTATACACAATTAAATTCAGAGAAGAAATATCAAGGATTACACCAAAAAGAAAAGATGATGGAGACAGTCTTGTGCATGATGATTTTAAAACCTATCACACATAGCAATAATTATTGAGCAAGTCACTAAACCTCTCTGGGACTTACTTTCCTCATCTGTAAAATAAAAAGATCAGACTTTGACCTCTAGGGTCCCTTCCAACTCTAAATATTCAAAGACTACTGCCATGTTCCCATATGTACTCCCTCCCCACCGAAGTCTCCTCTCTTCCTTATCTGATGTAATGGATGTGATGTAATGCTGGGCTAGGAGTCAGGAAGCCCCCACTTCTATAACTTACTAGTTGCACGATCAAGGACAAGTCACAACTTCGGTGTTTCAATTTCTTCATCTGTAGGATACAAACCTTAAAGCTATTATAGTGTATAATTATCATTATTATTACCATTGTCACTATTACTATTATTGTGGTTTCTAGTTTCTCTACCATCCTGGCTACCTATTCCTGGAAATACTTCAGTTTGTCAACATTCCTCCCAAATGTCAGGCTCAGAGTGGGACAGGACGCTCTAAATGTTACATGACCATCGAAGAGTACAGTGAGATTACCACCTTCTTAGAGTAACAAGAGTCATCCTTCAAAATGATTTGTCCGTTATTTTTGTACAACTGGAACTTTTAAAGCAGGCATCTGGAACTGCCAGTAACTTCCTGCATGACCTCTAAAGAATTATTTCCCTATCTCTGGGCCTCATTTTCCTCACCTGCCAAATGTGAGTCTGGAACCAGATGATCTCAAAGACCCCTTCCATTTCTATCACCCCATGATTCTTTAGCTCTAAGTTATTGACATTCCTATTACCTTCTTTTTTTAATAGAATTCAGTGAAGATACAAGTAATTCTACTCTGAAAGGAATTATTACCTTCTTTTTTTAATAGAATTCAATGAAGATACAAGTAATTCTACTCTGAAAGGAATTCACAAAATAAACAAATTAGCTGACAGGCCCTAATTTCTACTTTCCCAGAATTAAAGGTAAAAGCTATCTTCAATCAATATCTGCACCTTTTAAAAGAGGTACATCTTACTTTCAGAAAACAAAAACAAAAAATTAAAACACTCTCTTTTTACCTAGTTTTTTCTTCATATTTCTCTGACTTCAGTGTATGTCATGAGACTTAAAGACACATGATGGATCATGTACATACAGTAGGAAGGAGGAGGACTGTCCTCAGGATTTGTTGGTTCATTCTCCTTTTGCTGAGCTATAATACTGTAGCTCAAATTAGTTACTACAAGCACCAAAAAATTTTGCATCTTCCTACGGGTTTGAAGTAATGCAAAGCCATTATTTTTTAAAAGTGAGCTAAAGGCATCCTCTCCTCATCTCATCCACTTGTTCACTATAGAAATAGACTTGCAAGTCTTCTCCCGCTGGTGGCATTCCAAAGGAACCTGAGAACCCACCGGGCCTCTTATCTGATCGGTTCACTTTCAGACAGAAACTGGCTCTTCTGAATCAGAAAAGAAACATTGTTTGTTAGTTTCTCTGAAATCACTACACCTTTGTTATATTTTAACACTTTCACCACCCTGCAAGTCCCAGATTTCCAGACAGAAAACAAAGCCTTTTAGCAGAACCTAAAACCCCTTCTCCAAACTGTTCCTTCCACCCTAATCCCAGTTTAATTAGGTTCATTATGGGAGGGGGGGCATGCATTATACAGGTGGGGGATGCACCTGCAAAGAGTTCATACCCATACCCCGAATTCACTTCTCCCGCTGAAAAGATATTTAGGGGTTTCTTTCTTTTCTTTTTTTTTTTTAATCATAAGAACTACTAGTTGCAGTGGGGAAACCAAGAGGTGGCCGACGTGATGCAGCTGTTTGCAGAGAGCACAGAAAGGCAAAGGAGAAGTCGCAGGAAAGGGACCAAATTATTAAGTGAAGAACCCCTGGCCAAGATGAACCAGATGAATGGAAAGAACCCCGGGCCAAGATTAAATAGACTGGGGTGGAGGAAGAATCTTTTCCCAATCACGGGGCCCTCCCCTCCCCAACAACCTACTTCATCCCGAGTCCGGGGGTAAAGTGCCCGGCAAAGATGCCAGCCTCCAGTCACATGATTACCCAATCCCCCGTTCGAAACAATCGGGTCTTGGGCCGGGCCCTAGGATGAGGAAGGGAGGGTGAAAAACATCCAGAGATTAGCCCGGTTCCCTCCAACCGAGGATGAAGACTCGGCCACAGCACTTTCCCCTTTGCAAAGAAAAGGGTTCAGTCCCTGCAAAGGTAGGGTCTCGGGCTCAGGGATGCAAAAGGTGTCTCACTCTGCTCACTAAGCCCCGAACTTTTATTCGCTCCTTCTTTTTCCCCAACCCGCCTGAGGGGCTCCCCGCCGGGGCCGTGCACTCACGTATCGGTTGATGAGAGTCCGGATGAAGCTGCAGTCTATGGTTCCTGCCATGGTACCTGCCGGATAAAGCCCCCGCGCCGGCGCAGCTCCTAGCTCCCCTCGGCGAGCTTGAGCTCGGGGCCGCCTTATCTCTTCCGACTCCCACTTGGCACGGCCATGGACTTGCTTCTACATCGGTCTCGTGGCCACCCTAGTCTCCGGGGCTGCGAGGAGGCGAGCGCACGCACGCACCCGGCCCGGGGCCGCCGAGGCTGCCGCTGCGCCGTTGTCAGGCTCCACTGGGCTCTGCTCGGCTCCCTCGCCGCCCGCCTGCTTCTTTCGCTCTTCTCTCGGGTCTCCCGCCTCAATCACGCCCGCAGCAGCTCAGGCTGCCAGCCGCGGGGCGCATGGGGCACTCGCGGGGCGGCACCTCCCGGCTCATGCCCTCCTCCCCGGCCCTGTCCCAAGCCTTGGGGAGAGCTCAGCCACCTGGCTGCTCCCGGGGCACTGCACGGAGTGGGGAAGCCCGGGAGAAGGAAGGGTTCTAGTGGGGTTGGGGGGAGGTGGGTTTGCTGTTGGTGGTTAGCTCGTTCGCTTTCTCTTGCCACCCCCTCACCCTCCCAGGGCTGAAATCGGCTTTTCTCTTGGGAGGGCTGCAGAGAGGGGTCTCCTCCTCCCGCCTCAGGCGGCCCGGGTCTGTTCTCGACTCTCTTCCCTCCCGAGCTCGCGGTGGCTATTGGTTCTGTGCCTTCAGCCCAGCCCGGGCTCTCCGCTCACCTCCCCCTCCAAAAGCTCGGGCTCTTTGATCCTTCCCAGGCAATTCTGGCGGCGAACGTCACGACCCGCGTGTGAGCATGCGCCCCAAAGCCACACGCCTCCTCTAGCTCCCCCTGCCCCCCCAAACACATAGACAGACACACACACACACACACACACACACACACACACACACACACACACACACACACACACACACACACACACCGAGACTACCCAGGCGCGCGCGCGCGCGCGTTCACAGTCAATCTGGTCTCCCCTTTTCCTCCTGGGTTCCTCCTCCTCCTCCTCTTTAGAGGAGGCTCTTTATTTCTTAGTCCTTCCACCACTACCCCAGAAGCAGAAATTCCCAGTAGTTTTGCCCAATGCCTCCTCCGCTCCCCATAGCCTCTTCTATGAAACTGGAGAGTTTCCGCTTTGGAAAGGAGGCAGAGTGGACGAGCAGGAGAGAAGCGGAGGGCTGCGAGCCCGCGCGCAACCCTGGGCCCTGCGAGGACACAGAGGAGGAACAGGCGCAGAGCCTTAACTAGGGAAGGCAACAGGCCCAAGTGAGCTTGGAGAGCCTGGCCAACCCAGGAGAACTAGGCAGCCTCTGTTCTTCTCCCCCGCCCTCTCCCTATCTCCCTATTGCTTTTACTAGAAACCTGGGGCATGAGTGAGAAGGATGGGGTTGGAAAGGAGAAAGCTGAGAGAGGTTTTTAGTTTGTTTGGAAGTTCTTATACACACTGCACTTTGTGAGCGTGTTAGTTTACAAATAGAGGTGGTCCTGAGTGTACACACCCTCCCATGAGCGGCTTCGTATAAAGTACCGCGACTGTTTCTGGGTGAAAGCTTACGGGAGCATCTGAGCTCGCCCACGAGTAGAACGAAAGACGCAGGCTTCCCTTGTAACTGTGGCGTCTGTCGTTCCTTCTCGTTGTGAACAACCACAGAACCGGGGCACTTTTATTCCCTATCCTCCTCCCCTAAGGGAAATGAGGTTGAATCGAGGGAGAAAGAGGGAAAGCGGGCCACCTAAGGTCAAGTAGCCTGTGGCTGAAAACAGCGGTGCCAGGGGATGGAGAAGGAATCAATCCCCAGGTGCGCAGGCATAGGACGTTGCTGGTGCTGATGCTGTTGCAGGGGTTCTATCGTCTCTTCATATGCCCCCACCCCCCAGCTACCTCCCAGCACAGCGCTCTCCCCAGTTGCCCCACTGTCTGTGATTCTAAGGCGACTTCAGAGCCTAAGCGTAGCGGGCAGCGGGAGCAATGGAACTCGCTAAGGCTGCTGAGATCCGGGAAACAGCAAAGGGGGCGCGTTGCCTAGAATCCCAGCCTGGTGGTTCGGTTTCTGGGTTGCTCCTGCAGTCCTTAGGCTAAGGGGGCTGGAGGGGAGGGACAAAGCTGCCGCAGCTAACAGGAACCTGGGAGAAGAGAGACGCTAACAGCCCTGGGTTTTTCTGCTCCCTGTTCCTCCGTAAGGGGGATTGTTTGGTCTAGGAGGGCTATGCAGTGGTAAACACCATGGGTAAGGAAATTCCGCTCTTCGGAGTATTTGGAGAAACATCGAGGCCAAACACCAGTCCCTCCCACTTCACAGATGGGCAAACAGCAGTTCTGTTCGTAAAGTGACTCGAACAAAGTCATATGGCTAATTAACAGTAGTCTACGAACGAGAAGCCAGATTTCTTGACCCAGAACTAGCCTGTGGCTGATTTGTATCCCGGAGACCCAAACTGATTACCTGGAATCCCGTACTTAGCCCTCATCACCAGGCCTCTGGAAAGACTTTCCATTACGCTCTCAGGGGAGGGGAAGCGGGTGGGGGGGAGGGGACAGGAACGAGGGGGGGGCGGTTAAGAAAGGAGGAGAGCTTAAGAATAAGGCCTTTACCAGACTTCAACCCCTTCCCTCAATACCTAAGCTAATCCCTCCCACCCCACGTCCCCCCAATTAGGTGGACACTCACTCAGCATATAAATCAGCCCTCCAACCCAAGAGGCAAGCCTTTAGATGGCGAAGACCCAAGTAGTAGACAAAAAACCCATCCTTATGGTTCTGGAAACGTAGGTCCCTAGGAATGCAGGGCAGTGTGAGTTTGGGAGGAGAAGAGAGGAAAGGCGGGAAGACTTCCCTGGATTTTATGTTCTTTTCAGCTCCTGGCGTGTACAATTTATAAAGAGAAAAAGAAAAAGTCTGCTATATGAGGAAGCACTGACTGGGAAATCATGCTACCTGAACCCTGTTCCCAGCTGTGCCTTTAAGTGTATCTTTGGGTTCTCAGTTTCCTCCTCTGTTAAAAAGGAAGAGGTTGTTCTAAATGATCCCTACTATACCTTATAGCTCTAGAACTGCTCTATAAAGTAGGATGATGATTTGAAGTCAATTCTGATTTCAGTGGCTAAAGTCAGAGTGCACAGCGTCCCCTTAATTATCCACCACAATTCAATCTTGATTTGTCAAAAAAAAAAATCTTCTAGATCTTCTTGATGGTCATTTCTGAAACATGAGAAAAAGGAGAGAACATTGCATTTGGTTTTTGTTTGTTTGCTTTTTAAATGCCTTCAATTACTGAAATGCTTAACAGCAGGCTGGCAAACAAATAATTCCTGCAAAGCTGTTGTTGAATGCTTATTTTGTGCTTTGCTGTCCTCCATCTTAACAGTACTGAAAAACCTTACTAATTTTGGGAAAGGTAAATCTGAATTAATGAGAGTCTATTAGTTGATTTTGTTTTTTAGCAGAAGTATAATTTTATTACTTTCAGGAATAGATTACTCAAAACTAACTATTGCTTATTAAGAGGTTAGTGTAGAAACTTGCTTTAAGGAATAAATAAGAAAGAATTATAATTAGCATCAATTATGGCTAAATAGGTGCTGCCTTTTGAGTTTGTGAAAAAGGTTAATTAGCTAAAGTATTTTAAACATCCTCCCAGCAAACTTGTCTACACTTGCCAAAGACAAACTTGAGTCCCTGTCTAAATTATTGCCCTGTCTAAATCATTGAATTTTAGATCTGGAAGAGGCCCTAGAGATTTAGTATATCTCCTTCACTTTACAGCTAAGACAACTGTAGCCCAGGAACTTGCCCAAGGTTATAGCTAGCTAATGGCAAAGGGAGTACTAATCTAATCTAAATCTTGTGGTTCTTTCCATGCATTCTATGAGAACATACCCTCTTCTACTGTATAACAGAATAATTCTTTCATTTCTGAATTGTCTGTATAAAAACTACCAGCATCGAACACATCATCATTATAGCTCATGCTTATATAGAACCAATTTTGCAAAGCTATTTGTTTACATACATCATCGTTACTAATAACAGAAGCTGATAAGATGAAAATAATTTTTAAAAAATTTCTTTCAAAGCCAAGTCTCTTGATTAACTCTTACCCCAAACTCCACTATACTACATTGCCTTTCATATTTTGCCTTATTAATTATTTATATGTATGTTTCTGTCTCTTCACCTAAATTGTAAACTTCTATGGGTATATAGACCATGAAATTTACCTCTTCTGTGTGTATGATTTTTTTTTTTTTTTTTGCTTTTTTGGTGAGGCAGTCGGGGGTTAAGTGACTTGCCCACAGTCACACAGCTAGTGTCAAGTTTCTGGGCTGAGGCCGGATTTGAACTCAGGTCCTTCTGACTCCAAGGCTGGAGCTCTATCTACTGCACCACCTAGCTGCCCCCATATGTATGATTTTTAAAAATCTGGACTTAAGATTTCATCCTATAAGTAACTACAATAGTGGAGACTCTGCCAATGCAGCTTATATACTGTAACATAGTATTAGAGAGTTGCCTGTGGCTTTAAAAGGGTAAGTAATTTTCCCAGGGTCACTCAAATCATCGGAGTCAGAGGCAAAACTTGAAAGCAGTTTCCAAGGCTAATCTTGTATCCTGTACTCTACATCTGCATCATTGGCAGATATATGTTCAATAAGCATTTCTTGATTATTATATATGTATACTTATTTTACATGTTATTGATTATTGATTGATTTATTGATACTTACAACAACTCTATGAGGTAGCAGAGGCACTAGATTTGGAATCAGAGGACTTGGGCTCAAATCTCACTCTATGAATTACTATTGTGATCTTGAGGAAATTACTTAACATCTCTGGGCCTCAGTTTTTTCATCTGTTAAATGAAGGAGATGTACACAGTAACAGCCACATTGTGTGATGACTGATTTTGATAGACTTAGCTCTTCTCAGCAATAGAAGGATCTAAGACAACTCCTAAAGACTCATGATGGAAAATGCTATCCACATCCAGAGAAATAATTATGGAGTCTGAATGCAAATCAAAGCATACTATTTGCTCTCTCTCTCTCTTTTTTTTTTTGTTTTGTTTCTTCTTTCTTGTGGTTCCATTCTAATTCTTCTTTACAACATTACTAATATAAAAATATGTTTAATATGAATGTATATGTAGAACCTATATCTGAT